TTTAGGAAACATTTAAAAATTATGTTTGCTTCTTATCTTTTATCAATATTAATAAAAACATTTATGTTCTGGATCTGTTTAATTAAAATAGAAAGTTCCAAAGACCTTTAAGATCCAGCAAGAGGATTTTGTTTTCAGTTTCTAAAGCTGTCTTTAGGTTATGTCAGATGTGTACCTTGGATATGCAGCAACTGGGAGAATACATGTATATATAATTGTATATGTTGGTAAACACAGATAATTTAATTTTGAATGTGCAAACAGCTTATTTCTTGCTTTCAGCTTTGTTAAATATTATATAATAATAATTGCATTCATGTTGGTTCATCTAAATAAATAAATAAATAAAATGGAATAAAATAAAAAAATTTTGTGCATATTCAAGGACAAATAAAGTATAATCAGGCAAACTTTGCTATTAATCTCTTGCAGAAAGAAGAGAAATTGATTGAATTAATCAGTCATATCTAAGCATTGCTAATTTCAAAAAATTCAAATATTCAAAACTTTAACTGTTTAGAATATTAATTTTGAATTTGTTTTAATTTACATATTCTATGCTACATTATTCTAAACTGTTAAATGTAAGATGTCAAGCAAAGAATGGTGAGATTTTGACCAAAACATTTCTTTTAATTAATAAAAAGTTGGCTTCCTGAAATTAGCAGTGATTTATTTATTTATTTACAATAACATTTCACTTTTTTCCATTAATTTTTTCAGATTATTTAATATTTGTTAGAGAAGTTTATAGTATCTTTTATCATTTAATATATGGAAGCATATGATCCTTCTTGTTTCTCCTTCACTCTATTTCTCAGTTGAACTTTTATAGAATAATTGGTGTGTAGAAAACATAAACTTAGGTATAAATTTAACATATTTTTCCATTTAAATATTTAATTTATCGAATGAATATAACTTGAAAATGACTTGAAAAAAATTTAAAATGTTTATTATGTGAAATTTTCATGTTGGATTTTACCTTTACCAATGTTTTTTTTACCATTTTATTTTTATTTAAATTACTTTTTCATTTCTTTATTTATAAAGATGTAAATTTTTTATTGTCAGTTTTTATTTTTTATAAGATTACAGTATAGTTTATAGAAAAATATAGTTTTAGTTTATAATTAAGTTATTACAAACTATCAGTAGTTAAGAAATCAAACAGAATTATTTTTAGTTCATAATTTGCTAATTATAGTTTATGGAGCCATAAGTATGAATGATATCACTCAATGTTTTTGAAAAACTAAATAAATAATTTTTAAAAAATCCTAACAATTGTCTGCCAATATCTTTTCATTTAAAACCAAAATAATAACTTTTTAATACAGTAGACCCACAATTTAACGGACTTTGGATTTAATTGACAAACTTTAGAATTTTGTTTTATTCATGAAACAACATGCTAAAATGTCATCACAGACACAACTTTTGAAGAAGCAATGTACAGTACATTATAACAAAATTTTATTCATACTTAAACATTATAATAACGTTTCAATATACCATGTACATTATAAATTCCATTATTAATATATGTTCTTAAGGTATATTAGATTTAACATACCTTGGTCAATAGCAGACATTCCCTTCATCCCATTTAACCTGTTCAATAGAGGGCTGACTGTATATTGATTTGTTACTATTTATATTAAATAAATCCTAAGAAAAGAAAATTGAATAGTACCTTGTTAGTTGAATAGTAATTCTGCACAAATACCAATTAGTTAAATTGTTNAAAATTATTAATTTTTAAATTTAAGATTTGATTTATATAATTGTTAAAATTCAGATATTTGTCAAACTAGAAACTCCTTCTCAATTGTAAATCATTATCTATATTTTACAATAACTGTGATTAAAATATAGGATTCTTTATAATTTCAATACTAAACATAATCTATTTATAATTTTGATGTATGTGTATTAGAAAAATGTTTATTTTCTTAATTACCATTTTCATTTTCTACATTTGCTGTTCCATTGTGCTTGTTTCAATGTGATTAATTGTAGTAAAGTTGTGATTATAGTAGGATTGGTTGTATTGTTTCAATGAACATAACTGCTTCAAAAAAATAAGTGTCAAGCCTTTTTGATCTAGATTAGTAGACAGTAGTTTCCAAAGTTATATAGTCCACAGATTGCTTAGCTCATTGCAGCTGTGATGCAAATTATCTATACATTCATCCACTTCTTTTCCTGCAAAAATCACCTTAGATGCTAAAAAATTGTGCGCGCTCAGTAACATAATTTGAGAAATAGCCACTCAGATTGCCAAGCAATTAAGGTGGTAGCCTACTGCTCTGGAGACCTGGCATCAAATCCAGATACCCAGAGTGGTGGGCTAACCCATTGTAGGTCTGGCAGAATCCATAACGAACTTGCTTTAAGATCATCTTAGTGCCCACAGGGTAGAAAGAGTTGTTATTATTTTTTATATACTGTATATATAAAAATATAAATACATGTAAGAATATGCTTTAAAAAAGAAACATATTTTGTAATTTAATTAGAATAGATTTATATATTAATCTTTATTTGTTATTTAAATTGTACATATTGATGATTTGAAGATAAGATAAAATATCATGATTAAATCTCTAGACTCCTAAACATTTTAGGAGACTGATTTTTTCTACCCTATAATTTATTTGTTAATGTTGTTATACATTCATAAAACTTCAAATTTGTCTTTGTTTTAATGTAATGTTAAACATAATCATTAAGGAAGGAAGCTCTTCAAATGTAAATTCAATTCATTGACTTTTAATGATGGATATATTGTATCACCTGAAAGTGCTTGTTTTCAAGAAAAATTCACTTCAAGAAAAGGGGCTGTCCAGGGTTACAAGTAGGGAAAGGGGAGGGGTTGTGCTTCAGTGGACATCTATTTATTTCATTAAATTTTATAGTTTATGTGTATTTCAAAATTTCTTTTATGCTTTGTTTCTAATGGCATCTATCACTCATAATGTGATAAAGGTTTTAAAGGGGGTTGAGTTTTGTTGGACATCCAAAGAGGAGAGGGGGTTATGGAAACTTGGAAAAACTGGGACAAGAGAGTGAGAAGGAGTAAAAATTTCAAGAAAAATGCAGACATAATTTATGGACAGCCCAAAGCAGTTTGAATCAGACATAAAATTAAAAAGAAATATATTTTATCAAAATATCAAATTTATAAACAAACATGAGATGGCAGATGATCATGGCAATAGTCTACTGCTCTGGAGACCTGGGATCAAATCTGGGTGAGTAAACTCTTTGGGAATTTTTCATGGGTAATCTATCTCAGCTATTAGACTCTGTTCCTCACCACCCAGCTAACCTCCATTGTAGGCCAATAATGGGTTTAGAAAAAAGGCCCTCTTTGTGCCCATAGAGTGGAAAAATCTGGAAAAAAAAATTGATTGCTTAATCCAAGCAAGATTATTTTTAGCATTTTAGAATAATTTTAATAATGATTAATCTTTTCAAAATGTAATTTTTAATTGAAAATGTTTTGTTTTAATGATACACTAACTTTTTACTTCAAAATTAATAAAAAGGATAGAAAATTAAACATTTTCTAAAGGTTTTAAATATCTTGAACAACTACACATTTATTATTCCTACTGAAACTTTGTATGCATTTCGTTGGTGCACAAGAATAGTGACAACTCAAAAAAATAGATCTTCCAGGACAGCCATTTAAAAGTTTCTTGTTTCCTGCAAGGCTTTGCCATGATCTTGGATTTTTAAAATTTTCAAATCTTCTTTGGAAATAAATATTAGTGTTCATTCTTCCACATAAAAATATGGGGAGGGTGCTAAACATTTCTACAATAAACTCGAAATTGGAAATTTTTGAGTTGTGTCACTATTTTTGTGAACCAACGATTTAATTATTGCTTCAAAATCAATTTATTCTAAATATAATTTAGTATTCTTACTTTACAATAATTAAATTATAAAGTTGCAAGTAGAATTAATTTACATTATTAAATATTTGTAATTTAAAATAATTAAATTATTACATTTCCTATTAGCCGATATTCTATAACAGCTGAACTTTTCAGATTTATGACATCTGTAAAACTCTTCTCATTAAGTTTTAATATTTTATTTAGCATAAAATCTTATTTCTCAACATAAACTTGTTTAAAATTAACTCAAAAAAATATTTTTTTGGTGAAAATGATAACTTTATCATAAATCAAACATGTTTACAGGGCATATTTTGATTTTGAGTCCTTTATTTCTGCAAAAGCTCTGTAGAAATTTTTTTTATATATACTGAAATAAAAAAATCCCCCATAAAAGCCTTTGTTTATGCTGAAATAAAAAGAAAAAAAATACTCTGTAGAACCTCTTGTTTGTATACGAAAATTAAAAAAATAACTGCAGAACACAAAAAATTCACAGTTTAACTCTTTGTTTTCATAAAATGCCATGTAAAACCTCTTGTTTCTTTGCAACATAATTCAAATATCCACTGTCTTATAACAAACTATAAATTCTAAAGTGTAAACCATTGCCAGATAGTTGTCCTTCCCAACTGTCACCGAAGTTAATTTGAATATCACGTTGACAACAACTCCTTACAGAACACATATTTTGAGAGTTGGCAGTTAGTTGCTTCTGTCACTTACTTATTTCTGTACTGATGGTTTTTGAGTCATGCCTGACAGATGTTGTACCACCCTAATCTGTCTGGAAGCTAAAAGACATTAATTACTCATTACCATCAAAATTTCAGAAAATAATTGTTTTTTTTTTTCTATCCTTTTACTTAATAGTATTTGTATAATAGTTTTTAATAAATAAACTATATTTTTTCAAAAATCTAGATGATTATAAACAAAAATAACGCAATTTGTAATTAGTTCATTCACACGACCTCGTTATAGCGAATTTTTCTTGTAAAATTATCACGAAAATAAGTAAATGTTTTTAAAAATGATGATGAGGAGGAGGAAGATGATGATGATTATATTTGTAATTTTTCTCAACAGGTGGCGACTCAGTTTTCCAGTTACGGTTGCGTAGATGTTATGTCCATTTCGCGGAATTCAGCATTAGTCGCGGTGGGAAATATTTGGTGGTAAGTTATAATACAATTACAGGAGAAAAATAATAATAAAATCATTTTAAATTGTAAACATTTAAATAAATTCGAATTGAAAAACGCTTTAGAAGCAAACGAGTCATTCTGATTGGTTGATTTTGAAAATTTAAAATTTTTTAATGTTAATTTCATTAGTGAGATTTTTGTGTCATTAATTACGAACCTACGTAATTGTTTTTTTTTAAAGTATTTTACTTGTATTTGTAAGTGTAATTTAAAAGAAAAGGTGACAAGTGTATGATTAAAAAAAGCAAGCAAAGTTTGCAAAATTTGTTTCCAACCAAAAATAACTCGACAAAAGATCAAGGAGAGAAATGCCAATGTGGGTGGGTGGATGGATTCGGTGAATGTGTCGGGAGAGCTTCTCATCTTCCCAAAATATCCTTTCTAATCTGGACCTCTCCTGCACCAATTCGATTGTGAACCAAGTCATAATTTTTTTTTTCCTTCTTCCTCCCGCAATTCTGACGTCACAGACATAAACGAAAGTGACGTGGAACGAGTTTAATGCTACCGATATTAACCGACAATTTAATTAAATTTTGCTGATGACCCGCATGTCTTTGACCCGTTAACGACCCGCATATGGTGACCGTTTGGATTCGTGCCAAAAGTGTGTAACAGGTGGATCCTTTATTAAATCTATTACATTGCTAGGTATCCGAGTAACTCGATTTACTTCCATCTTTGATATTTTTCATGTTTAAGATGGATTTCTCTGAAAACCCTATTGGTAATAAACAGGGCAAGAAGCAATTGGCGTAGCGTAACTTGACGATAAAACTCCCTACTTAAATTTAAGTATGGCCATAAAGTTTCGAGTGTGTATTGCTTCTGTTTTTGTGCATTTGTTTAAATATATTTATACCCTAATTGCAATCTCTAGGAAATGTAATCGAATATATTTCTCCAAAATTTCTATGAATGTTGCCAAATTTTGTTTTAAACACACTAGAAAGAGTTGTTTGTTGGTACACATTTATGGCTTTCGTGTTGTTCAGCCGTTTAATGATGCAAATGAATGATTTTCATGCCATATTTTCCTAAAGAAATTTATGAATTTCGTATTGCGTTATAATACACAACAATCTGCACTCATAAATCGCAAGCAGGCGTCGAAACGATCGATTTTTTCAACGGAAGATCGATTCAAGAATCGATTTTTGTTATTCGTTAGTCTCGTGTGTGAAGTCGGATGGAAGATGATATAAAGGAGATAAATTTAGAACACGTTTATGTGACTTGACATATATATATTTTTTTATTTTTCGTAAAAGTATCTGGATTTTGTTGAATTGTTAAATTTTTTTTTAAAGTTCTATTAAATCAACACGGAGTTTTCGTTGATCGATCGGGAAATACTCATCGGAATTTTACTGTGACGTAATGTGAAAGGACACCATCTGTCAATGTTTGACGTCTGCTGCCAAAAGTGGCTCATTAAACCGTCAGGGCGGTACATTTGCTGCTTTCTAATTTTGTCTGTTATTCTGGCCATAGTTGGACAAAAGCCGACTCAACAAGAGTTCCTTTATTCGACTCGGATCAGAATAGAAAATTAATATTCTGTTACGTTTGACGTACATTGTATAATATATATACCGAATTTTACGCTTTGATATGATTTATGGTTGTCTGTTCATGAATTTTTAAGCATTAATACATTTAAAATCAAGGAAAAAATATATATATCTATTGAAAGAAATTATAGTTCTATAAATATGATTATCATACTTGGGTCTCAGCTTAGAGGATGCCAGTTTGGATTTCAGTTTTTATCTATTTTTATACTTCAATTTTTTGCTCTTGGGCTGTGAAATTTAATGCAAGAATATGCTTTATCACCTTTAATAAATCTTAAATTTGCATTAATTTAAAATTGAAGTGTTTAAAATAAATAGTTACATCATTTTTGTATACAAAATACTGTTTAATCATTCCAAAAATATTGTTTATGATATTATTATTTATTATTATTATAAACGTTTTCAAATGATAATATTTCCATTAAGAAACTTTAAAATTTGTTTATTCATGCTTTATTTATAGTAAACATCTCCTTAACAAAATGATCTGTTGTTGCATGCAATGAACATTCTGATATATATTAGTTGTAAGATTAAAAGTCAATTATTATTATTATTTAAAAATATATATATTTTTGTGTAATTTTTTTAAAAAATATCATTCCAGTGCCAAGGATATCTTAACAGCTTTCCATAGCCATCCAGATATTTTAGTCACTTGCTACAATGTCTTTTTACATTCAAAATCTACAAGGATGCTTCTTTGGTGGGTCTAATTATAATTTTTTTTATTATGTTATAATTTAATATTAGATTATTCTACATTTATGGCAACATATATATAACTCATTATCTATTTCAGGTGTGCATGTTTCCTTTCAGGGTCTTTAGGATTGATTCTTCTTGCAAAAATGTGGAAAATGGCTAGATGAAAAAGCATTAATGTTTTTAGCTTTATAAACAACAATTATAGGAAAAAATGTGAATAAATTAAATAAAAAAGAAGTTAGGTAAATTATCCGGCAAATAAAGATAAACCTGTCTTGTTTATTTAGAATCCAAACAGTTTGCCAAAACAATGACACATTGTACAGAACACATTAAAACTTTGATTTACTAAGCTGCCAAGCAATGTGACAATAGTAATTTTCTTTTTTTTCCCCCTCCTCCTGTTTAGCTTGTTTGTCTTTTATCATTCTTTAACGAGTTTACATGACAATTGTCTCTTTTATCAACAGCGCACATTGTTTTAAGTTACATGCGTTAACAGTCTTGTTTATGTCAAAACAAATTACCCTCTTTAAATGCCTCTGTAAAACCATGAAAAGGTGTAAAATAAACTTAGAAAATTTCCGTTTTATAATAAAAAATCATCCGTATTTTTCTAAATAAACTTTTTTTTTTAAAGTTTTGTTTCTGGTGTTTTGCTGTGTATAAAAACACAAATAGTGTTCTTCCTAAACACCAGATAAAGGTCATAATTCACGGGGATAAGGAAGCGTGTTCTTTGACTATAAAGACGTTATCAATAGCTTCACATTCGCCATCCTCTTCTGGACACATTGCTTCGTTTGAATTACCTCAATAGCTACCAGATACATGTATGACGTCAGCTTTGACGTCATCGCCGAAGATGATGAACAGACTTCCTGAACTCGGATGTTACTTACCTTCACCATACTTTTGTTTTAATAACTATAATAAAAACGAACAGAAAACGATTCGTTTTATTTGTTTAAATGTTTGTGTTACGGATGAATTTTATTTATTTAAAAAAAAAATGAATGACGTATGATCTATAATCGAAACCTCTGTATAGTTATAACTTGCCAGATCTTTTTTGGAGAGTAACTAGTTATGATGTAATATATAATTTTTAAGGTTAAAAATAATTTGGAAAATTAATATAATATTTAAATTTACGAAAGTTTTAAATTCTTAAATTTTATAAAAATAGCCCGAAAATAGCGGAAATTGATATGTTTTGTTTTATTATATTTTTTTAAGACGTTCTATAAATTATCTGAATCGATGTTAATATTTCTGCGCTTTAAATTTATATAACGTGCAATCTTAAAAATATTTTTTTTTAATTTTTTGAAGTGAAATATAAAGGAAAATTTTTAAAATTCGAGCAGACGATTTTTGATGATATTACTGATTACAATTTCGACCACGAGAGTGCGCGTAAGTTGACTTAATATAGATACCCTAACGTGGTTTGACTCCGTTTCATCGCCAAGTTTTCATTTCCGTTATTTTATGTTGAGATGGCAAAAAGTTATGCGAATTAAAACAGGTGATCTATATAATAATAATTATTATTATTCGTAAAATATATTTCGAGAAGGAGGAGAGAAAGGTAGGAATTTAGAAAAAAAAGTTATGTATGCATTTATTTTTAAAAATTCAAAAATTTGAATTTGCACGCGCGACATTTAAATTAGCCAATTGTAAAACGCGTCCGTAAAAGTATAGATATCGTGAAATTTAAATTTATAGACGTATGAAATTTTAAAAAATGAATCTTTTGCATTTTTAAACTTAAGTAACGAGAAAAAGTTAATTTTATAATAATTAAGTATAGTAAAAATATACCTGTAAGTTGATCTTTAGTTTGGCGGTATTATTTTTTCAAGACCTTATTGTTCTATTGAAAATGTGATATTCTTTTCGTGGTACTTGTTATTTTGAAGTGGATATTTAGAAGTATAAAAATACATATTTTATTCATTCATCTAAATGGGACTTATTGTAATCATTAATTTATAATTTTAACTTGCGTATTACGTGTAGGAGTAGCGCAAATATACGTCGCATGTTTAGCGAACTGAGCGGCAAAATGTTTAAAAGGCATAATTTTTATTTAATTTTTATTAAATATCATTTTCTACTCTTGTTACATTATAACCCTTTTATTTATTCATAAACAATTTATCAACAAAGTGATGCAAAGTGCACTTTGTGTGCTTTGCATCACTTTGTTGGAGATTGAACCACTTTGCGCTTTTGAATCTTTAGAAAGATTATGTTGGCTTATAGCAAATGATTTTTTAAAATATTAAATGAATTAATAATGATGATCGGTTCAAAATTTAATGCAAAAACTATTTTGGGATATGATTTTAGCATCCAAAAGTAACTCAAGCGGTAATGCAACTAGCGTATGAAGGATCCCAACTAGGGACATAATTTTAGCATTTTTAACAGATACGGTATATTTTTAACAGTACCGGAAGTATTAGAGCTCGTTCTCTCGAGAGTCCCTCTACCCTTTATAGCTACTGTATTATAGAATGATCCATATCATTTAAACGCATCCCAATTTGCTAATAAATGGTAATATAATCATTTTTTCGTTGCGATTAGTGTTTTTAGAAAGTTTATAAAGAGAATATTAACAGATTCCATCATCTCAGTTTTGAGGAAAAATATACAGTTTTTTTTTTAAGTCTATTGCCAGATATTTTCGGTAGTTATGACCTCAAATCTCTTGAGCAATTCACTATTTTCGTTACGTGATGACGATAAAGGTAAATCTCAGGAGCAAATGTAACTGAGAATATTAAGGAATTTGACTTTTTTTGCATGGACTAAACGTGTAAGTTTTCGATGAAAATATCAGTAAATAATAAAAAAAAAAGTAATAAAGACGATTTTTAATAATTTAATAGATTCTATGAGTAACTCGGTTGTCGGCATTAAATTACATATGGTAAATTAATTTGATAATTGTGATGGAAACTGACTTTATTTATTTACTTTTTTTTTAACTTATATCATGCTACACATAATTAAAAAATATATGGACCTATATATAGATCTACTACTTTGCGAGGATCGAGTTACTGTTTAAAGAGTCGAGTTTACTCACAGTTCTACTACTTACGCAAATAGGAAAGATATTTTATAAACTGTAATTAAATTGTTTTATTTTTAACTATAAAATTAGAAATATGTGTGTTCTGAATTTTTAATTTTTAAAATACTGTTATACAGACCCAAATAAAATAATTTTTTTTATACATTTAAAATTAAAACAAATATTCTAAATATTAAGATAAATTATGTTGTGAAAGTATTTAAATCTTTTGAGCAAGAAATGAGTGAAAGTAATTAAGTAAGAAAATATTTGGTTAGATAATGAGGTATTTGTAATTATAATGAATGTAATTAGTATGTCAAAACATTGAATATCGGAAAAATGGCAGAAATCTATAAAACAATGAAGTGTAATTTTAATTGATGGAAATTTATATATATATGCATTAAATATGAAATGTAAATAACTTTTAAATCGTCATCTCATCATCAGTTGAGATCTTATAGATATGTTGCCGCCTTCACTACTACTATCTACTTTTTGAAATAACATTTAATGATGAAGAGAAATGGAAAATACAGTTTTAAAACAAGTTTGTTTCTTTGTGTCGACTACAGTATATGGTATGGCACGATGCCCGAAACCACCCACGAATATTTCTTCAAAAAGATAACTGCTTTACCGATATTTATGATGATAAACTAAAGAAAATATAAGTTATCCTAAAGCCATGTTTTTTTTTTTCAAATTTTCTATTGAATTAAATTGCATTCATAATGAAAAAAAAATATCCGAAATCTTAAGTTTTCTTAGTTTTTCAGAGATTCTATATAGGTTAAATAATGTACGTATATAAATTAGACCTATATAGGCCATATTTCAAAATACTTGTTACACATTTTAGACTTTCGATTATCATCATGACTGAAATAAAATATTGGAAAATGTATGCTTAAAACATCCTTTGTATACTGTTTATAAATATAACTTTTTTTTTATAATTTTGATTTAATTTATTTTATAAACTATATGAGTTTATGTATTAAGTATCCGCAACAACAATGAATTTATTTGGAGTTTACAAAACAAGCTTTGGCTGTGTTGATAAAATATTAAAGTATCAGTGTTAATCGGAAGTCAACAATTAATTTTTCTTTATTTTTTTTAATTAATTGTCAATATAGTGTATATAATATCTTTGTTTTGATTCAGAATATTTTAGAAAAAATTATTATTATTCCAGAGAAAATTCTAAAAAAATTATTCATTGTTCTATAAATATTTATTATTCGTTGTTATATTCACAATTTTAGAAAAAAAATATTGGTATTTAGATAAAACTCAAGAATGACTTAACATTATTCTACGTAGCCTATAATGTCATTTGAAACTATTGTGTTCTTGTTAGCGAAAATTCAAGGAAAATATTTTAAATTATATTTAAAGGCTGTATGAAATATTGGAGAATTTTATTTGTTAAATAATAAATAAAAAATGTTTTTGATAACGTTACAAAAAAAATCGTAGTGCAGTATTTTATAATTTGATTCTGAACAGGGATCAAGTGAAACCAATAAAGTTTTACTTTTGTTACAAATCAATATCACCTATTTATACATATTATATGTTTATTTATGAAACCTTAAGCGAGAGATTTCACCCTTTAAATCTATTATTTATTTTTTCGTTATCGCCATTTTTCCGCTTACTCCGGAAGCCAAATCGGAGAAATAATTAGCCTGTGTATTTAATGGAAAAAAGGAAATTAAAATATCTGGATTGAAAATAATTCCATAAAAATTATCAAGAATTTTAATTTTAGTTTATTTTAATGAAAAGTTAAAAAATATATATATAAAAATGTTGCACCGAAGTATTACCCATTAACATTTTGGGTACTAAGTTACTATAGAGTTGTATTTATTAAAACAATAGTTATTGTTTCAAACAAAACATAAAGCTTATTTTATATATAAAATCCCAACTCATCCGATATAAATATATTAATTAAGCTAGGAGCCGGAAAATCGAACGGCAATGGTTTCTGTTGGAACAGCGAAAATCAGTAATAACAGTAGCATCTGTCATATATCCGTAGATTGAAATATCTGTATACGTCATCTCATCAATTAGCCAATAGGATCGGCGGATATAGCCGACTAATCAGAAAACTCCACATGAACGAAGACGCGTGAAAGTCCGTGTAGGTTTAGGAAAGAGTAGAAGTAAAGATATTTGTCGGATCGAAAAGTAAACAACGTTTTCTTTAATATCACCGATAAAGGTACGTTTTTTAACATTGACCGATTCAATTAATTACGTCGAAGATTCTATTAAATACGTACATAAAGTACAATATGCTATTTAGGCCTAGAATATTCTATGTAAAAACCTATATTCTAATCGACCATTACCTTAAGTTGTAATTCATTGATAAACGAGACGGTGATTGGTCGAATTTGGAGGCTTTTATAAAATCGACCAATTATCTCGATCGTTGTAAATTATAAATCGTATTTATAAAATACGTGATACGTGTAAGTTGAATAATCTTCCTATTGAATTAAATATTCAATGGGAAAAATCGGTTATTCACATTCACTTGATAAATACGAAATAATAATAAGAATCAACTATATTTTGATTGAATTTATCCCATTTAAAATTTTTTAATGATTGAATATTTATTAAAGATAATCAATCGTTTTTAAACTTTGAATGGAACCTTTTTTACACACAAACACATGGTTTAAGCAATATTACATAAATAAAATGTCTTTATAAATCCTTATACTATCAAATAATGTAGAAAAAAATAAAAGCCGAATTATTTCTATATTTTTCTTACAAATTGGATTTTATTGAAAATTGTATTACTGTAATATATATTGTATAAAGTATAATGTTATTCCATATATATGTAAATTGAACCTATTAGAGAAAATTCCAGAATAATTTTAAGGAAAAAATTCAATTTTTCCTTTAAAGAATCAATCTAAAAAAAAAAAAAGAAATTAAATTGTAAAAAATTGAAATATATATCCTGAAAATTTAGAATTTTTAAAAAATGTTTATTTAAATTTTTAAAGTACAGTAATACCTCGGTTTTTGTTGACTTCGGTTATTGTTGGTTTCAGTTTTCGTCGATTTTTTCGCGAAAAATTTATCTCGGATTTGGTTGGTGTGCCTACGTGACCTCCTGCTAATTTTGTGAAAACAGAGGGTGATCCACACATTTTCCTGCTCGGTGTGGCGGCATTTCTCGTGTGAGCATTACCTCGTCCATCTAGCCAAACAATTTCATTGCTTTCCCTTCCTTTTAGCTCCATCATGGGACCAAAGAAAATTTCCAGAGCCAGCAGCCCTTTGAATGCTGTGTTAAATGTTCATTTATTCTTTAGTTTTTTATATTAATTTCTTATTTTTTTTAGTAATAAACACATTATTCTCTATAAAGTGTGTTTTGTTATGTATTTTGGAGTGTCTAGAACAAATTAATGGATTTACATTGATTCATATGGAAATAATTGCCTCAGATTTCACTGGTTGTTTTCAGACGGATTATTGATGAAAACCAAGGTATCACTGTCAGGCGGTGCAAAAATTTCTTATAATGCAAGTACTTTCAGCAATACAAAATCATCACTGTCAGGCTAACGAATGTTTTGAAATTACAACGGAACATTGCTGCTTACGGTACAACATTCTCAACATTTAAATATTTTAAATGTTTAGATTTTGAAATGGAATTCGAAGCTCGCGAGTACAAGAAAGAATAAACATTAAAATAAAAGACACACAAATATTCTGTTGTAAATTTTTATGAAATTAATAAGAGGTATTAATGAAATTTTTACCTGTTCTTTCATTACTTCCTTCTTGAAGTTATAATTTATGAATGATTGAATATTTAAGCATTATTGAATATGTAAAAGAGTTTGTTTTGATATTTTGTAAATTATTTATATGATTATAATATGTATGTTGAATTTAATTCTTCATGCAATTATTTTTCTTTTGAATGCTGATCAATTGCTGAATGATATATTAATAGAACAAACTATTTCTTCACCTTGTAGCCTTGAATAAATATTTAATAACCATCATGTGGTATTGTATCTTTGCATTTTTTTGCAATTAATGCATTTATTATTATTATCTAGTAATGTTTTGCCAGATAAGTTTTTCTATCTTCGTTATATAATATTCTGTATTTCAGGAGTTTAATGAAGATTATTTCAATATTTTTATTATGAAGTTTTACTGTTATCTTAGATTTGAATGCTTGAATCTTAGTGTGAACGTTGTGTATGTTTGTCCACGTGCATGCGGTAAACTCCCTCTCAGCCAGTAATTGGTCATATTTTTATTGATATTTTTTCCATTAATTAGATTTCTAGTGTCAATTTTGGGAATGAATACAATGCACTGTAACAGAACTTTTTTTTTACTTCAGTCAGTCTTTGCTATCTGTACTGTTTGGATTACAACCATTTCATGTGTACATATTTTTGTTTTTTAAATTGTTAATTTGAAGTTAGTCTTGAACAGAAAACAAATTCCTTTCTTGTTTCTTGTTTTCTTGAACAGAAAACAAATTCCATTTCTGGAATTTGTTTTCTGTTCAAGACTAACTTCAGATTAACAATTTAATTTTTAAAACTCTGTTCTTCATATCGAAACAAAAACCGAAACCGTAGGTAAAATTAAAAATAAAATCAAAATTAATTAATTAATATAAATTAAAATTGAAATGAAATCAATTGAAACATATTATTTTGGAAGGTACTGATAAAGTACTTGTCGGTCTTGATTGATTAGGTTACATTTCATTAGTGACGTGCCGGCCGGATATCCATATCCATGGATATCCGGCATTTCAACAAAACTAAAAGCATTGAAATGTATTAATATTGGAGAACATATAAAATGAATGTATTACAAACTGGGTGTCAAAATAGTAAAGTGGATGATTAGCAGAGAAACCAGAAATCTCCAAGACTTCAGTTAGTAAATAGAATCAGAAAGTGTTCTCACGCATGAGAACATCATCTGATTTTATTTACACTATGAAGAAGCTAAAAAATTAAGTTGTTGATGCATTATGGATGTGGTTCATGCAAGGATAACAAAGAGGAAAATCTCTTAGTGGACTGATTTTGAAGAAAAAGACAGTGCACTTATACAAGAAAGTCAACAATACAGGAGAATTTTTAGCCAGTAAATAATGGTTTTTGTGATTGCAAAAGTGTCACAGAATTTGTTATCTAAATGTTTGTGATGAGAAATTGTCAGCAGATCTGAATTCTGCAAATGGATTTGTTTCAGAAATTTTTAATGTTATGTAGAAAGAAAATCTTGTGCCTGAACAAGTTATGGTTTGGATGAAATAGGCTTTAATTTTAAACTTCTTTCATTGAAAATGCCAGCAGAATCACAAACATTTTACACAGGTTTTAAAATGAATGAAGTGAGAATCACTGTGGTATTTTGTTCAAATGCTGTTGGAGACACTGCCCTTTTTATTCTAGGAAAGTTAGCCAAACCAGGAGCATTTGAAAATGTATATTTTAATGTTGTACTACAAAGCCCAGAAGTCATCTTGGATGAATTCTTTTTTTATTTAAAGAATGCTTTTCAACTGAATTTGTTCCAAAAGCTCTGGTACAGTACATTTGAAATTCTAAAGGCTGTTCTTTTCCTTGACAACATTCCAAGTACCCCATTGACCTATTTTCTGATGACATCACAGTGATGTTTTTACCACCTGACATTAAGTTGTTGGTACAACCTAGGGATCAAAAAAGGATAGTCTGAAAAGATATTATAGAAGAAAACTTCTTTCAAAAATTTCTAAGAGGACTGCCAGTGAAGAAACAAAATTTACTAAAACCTTTAAGAAAATTAACATTAAGGATGCATTTATATGTTGGCATCTGCTTTTGAAGAAATGCCATTCTCAAAGTTTGTGAGGTCATGGAGAAAAAACTATATCCTGATGTTGAAAAATTAACTGTTATCTGGAGAAAGAGCCATGTGCTGAAGGTAGATAGACAAACCATGACCATCATCAATCTGCTTAACAGTTTGAAACAATTATTGGAGTTCAGAGATTTGGAGGAAAGAGATATTGGCTTATGGACAATAACATTCTAGAAAATGAAGTGTTAACAGATGAAGAAATCATGATTTACATATTGGTATTGAAGCAGCTAGTCAAGGAAAAATTATAGAAAAAAGAAGAACCAGAGATAGAACTTAGAAAAGAATAACTCGTTCAGAAGAAAAGAAAGTGACAAACTGTGATAAGGTGTATCAAATAGCCAAGATAATTCATCTGCCATTAATATAATTTTTCATGAAAACTGGCATGATTTTGCTTTAAAAAAATTAAATTAAAAAGAGAAATGAAAATTAGTAATTTTTTTTAATGTTCAATAAACATATATTTATTTATATTAATAAAAAATCTACTGTATATATATAAAATTTGTATATATCTAAATGTTTTGGTTTATAGTTTACTTTTTGTATGAAAATATGTTTATACTTAAAAATAAATAAATAAATAAATAAAAATTTATATTAAATACTTATTTTAGGTCATAATGTAAACATGAAATACTTTCACAGTTTTCTTTTTTTTTTAAGTTTAAAAGAGTAACAATAATTTTAAGAATAAGATTTATACTTTCACTATATTATACTTTTTCATGAATAATGCTTAATTGCTTTTTATTAAATACAGTGTTTATCAAGCTATACACTATATTTTTTATTTAATAGAATAGAAAATCTTGAGCATTCTCTAAATTTTTATCACTACTTATACGGGGTGAGTCAAAATTATGTGACAATCTTAATTTTTAATTAAACATTATTAATGAAACATCTTAATTTTGTTTCATTTTCTATTCCAATTGGGTGCGATGGACTGTTGTTATGGCCTCCCCAATCTCTGGTTTTCTGGCACTAAATTGTACTGTTGAACATTGGTTTGAATGCATTAATTGTGCTGGTGGTCAGGTTGAAACTTTGTATAATGCAAACTTTGAGTAAATGCTTTCCTCTCAAATAGTGTTCACATAATTTTGACTCGCCCTGTATGTACATTAGTGGTTAGTGTTAATAAATACTCAACTGGGATCTGTTTTTAATAGGAAAAAAATACTTAATTTCTAATAACAAAAACAAAGACACTGAGTTCATCATTACATGCGTTTTTTATCGCAAGCACTTTCAACGAACTTATAGTCGTTCTCCTCAGGCAAATACAGATATTTA